CACACCCATTTTCTAAANTATGGGAAGTGGGCGTGGTTATCGCCCGATTTCAAGAATGTTTAGCAGTTATGTTAGATATAGCCTAAGCAAGGCTCATACCAAGTTTGGTACGGATTAGTGAAGCGGATACTGATATAGAGCATTTCATCATAAGTGGGCGAGGCCACACCCATTTTCCAAAACTATTTTANATTTCATCATAAGTGGGCGAGGCCACACCCATTTTCTAAAACTATTTTGTTCCAAAATTTTACTTTACATACTAATTTTTAACAATTTGGATACAATATTTACTGAAATATCGTAGATTTATCTAAATAGACATTTATCTAAATTTAAACGCTTGTATACCCAAAACTATTTCTTTAATCATCACTTATATAACACCAATGTAAAGGAAAACAAATATTTATTCCCAAATATATAACATAGTAGGGTTCGCCTTACATTCCCGCAGATTTTTAGCAACAGGACCGAAAGGTCCTAGAAAACTTGACTTTGGCTAATATCTCGAAAACTATTTATTTGTTAAATTAAATGGATTCATATTCTAGTTCAGCGGCCTCAAATTAATCTAAAAAGTTTAATTTTAGTGTTAAGATAGATATAAAGTAGTGTTACTGTATACTAGTTGCGTTTTTAGATTTTGCCTTAATACATTTTCTAAGTTAAGAAATACCACTTATCTGCCATTTTCTGCGGGCAGTCTTTTCACGCTTTATTAGCCAAATTTCTAAGCTTTCAATTGAACAACGAATAATAACGCGATCTCTCCCGGGGATACAACAAATTCCTTAATATTCACAAAAATTAACAAAAAAATACTCGTTGAAAACCGCTATTTTCGTTACATTTAAATTGGACTTTTGCTTAATAAAATGATTTAAAAAAATCTACCCTTATTATTACGGTCTGTATGCGGATCCATCACTACTTTTTAAGAATATAATGCAGTAATCAAAATATTAACTTAAAACCGTCACGATCTTTCTAGAGAGGGAAAATTTATTTATAAGCAGCGTTAGAATATTCTGTTTCCGGTCAACGGTGAGCGTTCGCTGTGCAAGTTAGAAAAGTGAGGGGGACTGGGAAATGTTATTTGGAATGTTCTCTATCGATAGTAACTAATTTTTTAAGTTTTCTCCAAAATTTTGTCAAATTGGTTTTTGGCCGCCTAAATCGTTCAAATACCCCTATGTGCGATGATGTGGATGTCATCGGCATACTCCAGTAATTGCACGCCTTCGTAGTAAATTGTTCTTGAGTGGTTCAATTCTGCGTCTCTCTATCACAAGCGGCTTTTAAATCGACTAATATATGGTGTGTGTCGATTCTTTTCTCGTGGGTCTTTTCCAAGATTTGGCGTATTGCGAATACCTGGTCTATGGTGGATTTTCCAGGTCTTAAGCCACACTGATAAGGTCAAATAAGTACGTTGACGGCGGGCTTCAGTCTTTCATACAATACACTCTATAAAACCTTGTAACCTGTGCTTAGAGAGCTGATCCAGCGGTAGTTGGCGCTAATGCACTTTCTTGCAGATCAGGCAGAGAATACATAAATTGCAGTCGTCGGGCATGCGTTCATCTGACCATATTCTGCATAAGAGTTGATGCGTCCACCTTATCAGCCCCTCACTGCGGTTCTTGAATAGTAAGCTCCCGCAGCTTTATTGCTTTTCAAGCGCTCTATTGCTATTCTTTCCTCATCAGAGTCAGGTGGTGGAACATCGACTCCATCGTCATCGACTGGGGGCCCGGGTTCATCTTCTTCATAACTTTTAGTACTGATAGCATTCATTAGGGTGGAAAAGTGTTCCCTCTATAATTTAAGTATGTTCTGGACATCAGTCACTAAGTCGCCATAGTTTTTCTTACAGGACCTCGCCCTGGTTTTTGAAATCTGCCGTAAGTCCGCTTACTATCTGGTAAAGTTTTCGGGCGTTTTTCCTATCAGCCAGAATTTTAAGCTGTTCGCACCCATGTATTTCGACAATTCCGTTCTTATTTGCGGCAAATATATTTCGATTCCTTCTTCAGTTCTCTATAACGGTCCCACATAGCGCGCGTTACGTCCAATCGCAACTTGGCCCCGTAGTTTATTTTCCTGAAAGGCAGTGCATATAGAGATGTAACTCAAAATTAACGTTTTTGGTGATTTCATCATATAATTAATAAGCTTCATAAGTAGAATATGCTCAGCCTAACAGATGGACAAACTTCCCAAAAATTGCGAATATATGTTTTTTTCAACTGTCTTTTTGTATACCAAATATATGAATTGGTCAAACTTTGATTGCGTTTCCTCGTCGTATTAAACGCGCCATATATTCAATTGCCCTGCAAACCAAAGTTCCCGAAATCTTAACGAAACCTTTAGGAGTGTTAGGGTGAAAAATAAAGCAATTTATGAAAAAATTCTGCAAGAAATTCTTCATAGCAGCATTATTTTCATTGCATTACCGATTTTCTTCCAAAATTTCGTAAACGAATTAAAGTGTGCTCAGTTCCATTCATTTTAGAAAATCCGGAAAAAAATCGGATGAGATCTATACGAATTCTGAAAAAATGGTTTGGTAAGTTCAGTTTTTTCAAATAACCTTTAAACTTTAAAAAGTTAAAAAAAATGTCCACATTATACAACATAAAAAACTTTCGTAAGCGGCAATATGAACTTTGATTATGTAATGTGCTCTCAGCGTGTTCACAAAAAGTATATAAGGGCCATTTTACCTTTAAACAATAATATTCGCAAAAAATTAAAGGCCCCATACAAAAATATATTGTATTGAGTAATTTTGTTGTCTATTTAAATCCAATAAATTATTACACCGTTCATGGAAGAATTAAAACAACACCCTTGCTGTAAAATTTGGTTTTTTATTCCAAAATTATCATTCTTATAGTTCTCTGCTACAGGGTGGGCCAAATAAGAACTACACGTATAACTTCTTAATTTTTTAATATTATTGTTATTTTCTTTCTGCATGTTATACTTAATCTCTTGGAAAATAACAATGGATACTTACAGCAAGAGCACCAACAACGACTATAATACGCTATTCGTTTTGAACAACTAGCCTCAAAAACTGATTTTTTAGGTAATGTTTTAGCCGGATGAAGCGCATTTCCAAGCAAAACTGTAGAATTCGGGGCTCTGCAAATCGAAAGGCAACACACCAGCACCAGTTACACCCATCCAGATCCAATGTTTATTCGAGAATGAGAATGAAACGCCAGAAACGATTTCTGGGGCTTCTTACAGAATAATGATTGACAACTTTTTGCGGCCAACGGCAGAGCAGCATCCTAATTTGTGGTTCCAACAAGATGGAGCGACTGCGCACACTGAAAGGCAAACTATGGCAAACTAGGCAGACTATGGTAGGTCTTATTTGGCCCACCCTGTATATATGTATGTATGTATGTATATGGAAATACAAGCAAACGTGAAACGTTATTTCATAGTTCAAATGTATTTTTGGATTTTTTTGTTTGGATTTGCACTTTGATATATGCGACACCAAATTTTATAAAAAAATCCATAGCTGAGTTGCTAAATTTATTAGCAGTTTCTGTATTACTAATGTGTCTAGAATTGCGGTCACAAGAAGTGGTAACAATTTTGANCCAAATTTTATAAAAAAATCCATAGCTGAGTTGCTAAATTTATTAGCAGTCTCTGTATTACTAATGTGTCTAGAATTGCGGTCACAAGAAGTGGTAACAATTTTTTGTAATAAAATTTTCTGGCTACAAAATGTTCGATAACTCGCAGAATAGACCTGTAAGGCGGCACTGAGCGGCGTGCCAAAAAATTTGAATTTTTCAGAATTTTCAGTGGAGGCTAAGTCTTCATTCCCAGGAAGCCTTAACCTTACTCCGTCCATCCGGAGTATGCGAGTCAATTCGTTCAGCGGAATCTCACTTATAAATAATAATACATTTTTGAATTTAATTAAACCAATGCCTTAACCTTAAATGATTTCAGCTCCAATAGTACTCATACGCCACGACGAACTCGAAATCACTATTCAAACAATCTAATTAATTCTTGCGTTTAATATATTTTAATTAGTATCGTAAACTACAATTAAGTTTACATAAATAAAATTGATTACAAACATGTGGCTGCTACTTAAATTAATTTAATGCTCAAAAATTTATATCATCAAAACAATGTCATCTCTGAATGCAAGGCATGTGTACACAAATTTTCCCATAAATAACTGATTATACAATTAATTGTATGTATTTATTAGATTACCTGCATTTCGTGTGTCCGCATGTGTCTGTATGTCTCTGTGTTTATGTGTATGTGTGATCTATTCCCAGTGGGAATTAGGAGCACGTAATAATACCTTATTAGCAACTTACTCTTCACCTGGCAGTCATTACCATTTCCCTGCCGAACGTCCCTTACTTTTACAAAGGCATGGCCGCCTTATGTAAGTAGGAATTTAGAATGTACATTTGGTATCAGACATACTTCTGAGCCGCTATACAAAGTAAGTTACGTGTAATGCAGAGCAGTCGCTCGGAGTAGTTCGGTGCTTGGAAATAACTTCGGCTGCACGTTATTTTGCAACTGACAACGTAATGTGTCTTCGGAGGTGTTCATTTTGCCCTTTACTAGTAGATGACATTAGCCATGATGACAATTTTGGTACTAAAAACTGAAAGAAAACATGGCTTACCTCGGAAGGTGCTTACCTATTTTCCCAGTGGTTTTGTTTGCTTATTTATGTATTTGTTGTCATTATTATCAGCTACCCTGCAGGAAATGGGACTAGTTTGTAGCTAACTATTAACTAACTAGCAGTCGACTAGTGGTAAATATTTATTAACTAATTTCTTTGGCCGTAACTAACTACTTTTGAAGGGCGATGGCCGCAGAATAGTGTGAAATGGTNTCTCTGTTTCTCATTCTCCCTTCTCCTTCAATCACTTCAATTCATCTCAACTTAATGGATAGCGCAAATTTTCAATTCCATTTCACAGATTAGTCGCAGCCATCGGCGATACGTACGGCGGCGCTTTGCTCTTACACATGTTGACATCCACCATTATGTTGACGTTGTTGGCATATCAGGCCACCAAGATCACCGGCGTCAATGTTTACGCATTCACGGTCATCGGTTACTTGGGCTATGCATTGGCGCAGGTATTTCATTTCTGCATATTTGGCAATCGGCTGATTGAAGAGGTGAGTAGACAAAGTGAAAATAGAAATGAGAAAAAAGACGTATGAGTAGAATTCGTCACTCAGGTAGGACAAAAGGTGTGAATCATTGCAGATAGTATCAAAAATTGTGAATACGAATGCGATTTATTGGAGTAATTAGTTGAAGTTTATCACTTAATAAATATTTATTTCTAAAAGAAAATGTTCACACCTATCAATGAGTCGGGAATAAAAATTCGCCGCTCTGAAGATAGAATCTATTCATAATGCCGAAAGTATATAGCCAGCGGAAGGTGATAAAGCTGGTATGAAACTAAAAAGAAAATAAAAAGATCACTAGTATGGAAGATATAACGGATGCCTTTACTGTGAAAAAAAATTCATATCTACTTATTCCATAGTAGTATCTCTTTTTTTTGTAAATCAATAAAGAAAAGAAAATTAAAAAATTAAAGAAGTTCAATGCCTTCATACACGGCATTGAATCAGGTAAATACAATTTTGCCCGGCTTTTTTGGTTCGTAAATCAGTCCAAATTTCATGAAGATTCCTTAAAAATCCTGATAGGAGTCCTGTACGGGCGAACGCCAAATATTTGCGTTTCTCCCTAAATCGAAAAGACCAAATCTCCCTAAATTCGCAAAGATCCACACCAATTTAAGTTGTTACTTTCAAGCTAGCAATTGCTTTTTTGGTCATTTTGAGAGTGTTTACTTTTATATGTCTGCAGAGAAGAAGCAGACACGCGAAAGCGGTGCCATGGTCTAATGGACCAAACTTCGTAGAAAGTACTGAAAACTTCTAAGTAGGGAGTTGAAAATTCGAAAAAAGAGGCTTGGTACGAAATTCATGTCGTACAAAATGGATTCGGGAGGTAAGTTTACACGTCAAAATTACTGTGGATGGCACAACGCCGAAGTCGGTTTGTTTTCAAACCTGACTGGTTACGAAAATGAGTAAAAAAAAAACAAATGTGTGTGGTGATCCCACAATTATGTTCAACTTAATCTTAATCTTATTGTTAATCTTAATCTAAATCTTATTCTTAATCTTAATCTTAATTGTAACCTTAACTCCTAATCTAAATCTTAATTTACATTTTAATCTTAAGTTTAATCTGAAACTCAATCTTAATTTTAATCTTATTCTTAGTTTTTTTCTTAATCTTAATCATAATCCTTATTTTAATCCTAATCTTAATCTTAACCTTAATCTCAATCTTAATCTGAATCTTAAGTTTAAACTTAATATTAATCTCAGTCTTAATTTAAATCTTAGTCTTAATCTTAATCTTAATCTTAATCTTAATCTTAACATTGCTCTATATCTTTTTCTCAATCCCAATCCTAAACTCAGTCTTAATACTAATAATAATCTTAATCTACTATATGAAGGAGTCTGGCAATCTGCCGGCTGTGTAAGATATTCAGGTCGATTCTGAACAGGAACTCCCTGGGAGTTTTCTCTCTAATCCCCTTCCTCCTATCTTGAATAAAAATTCCCTGCGGATTTTTTATATTAAATGGCGCAGAGTTGAGCTGTCAAAAAAGTATCAAACAGCTCTTGCGAAGTTTGAATTTTCTGCTTCCAAATTTTCGGGAAAATGTTACTTCCTGAGAGTTAATTATTGGAGGATTTCTTTCTCGGGAGAAACAAATTCCCGGAGAACAAATGCCCTGGAAGTATTCAGAATTGGACTGATTTACTTCAATAAGATCAAAAGTAACCCGGCTTTTATTGTGTGCCTCATAAAATCAAATGAATATTATTCTACTTACGTCGGTTTTGAAGTCTTAAAGCACTCTCGAATTTTCGAATAGCAGATTAATTCTTGACGCACGCAGAAAAGCTAAGGCAGCTAGCACGACGGAAGAAATCATCGGACTAAACCGATAAATCGTATGGTGTGTGTTGACTGGTGAGGGAATCCTTCCGCCATTCTATGTCGCTCTATACCTTGGCAGCGGATACCAGTGTCGGAGAGAAGTTGAAGGAATTCATCCACCACTAAGTTTCACAGAAGAGGGGATAAAATCCCTCCCTGAGGGCAGCCCTTTTTTGTTTGTAATTGTAACACGTTGTGACCTACCTCTGTCTCAGCAATATTTGAACGCAGCAGCAGCAGCCAGCCAATTGTAGATCCCTGCTCAACTGCTCACTGATCAAATGCTCAAAAAGCGGTTATTTACTCATATAGCCAGGTAGCACTCCTAGCTATGCCATCTACTCAAACAAAGCAGCTACGCTCGGTGACTTAGTCAATGCCCATCTTTATTGCCTGGGCTCACGACCATGGGAACATAGAAAGCAATAAGAGAGCAGATGAGTTGGCCAAGACGGGAGTTTCTTCGGAAGGGCCAGTAGCGGTGGTACTGGGTTACAAACAGAAATCCACCTGCACTTTCTTAAAATAGCAAGGAAAAGGTGGTCATAGATCCAGACTTGTTAGATGTTGTGTAAGATTTGGCCTGACAAGCGCAGTAATAGTACAGTTGAGCTGCTAAATAGGGTAATGGCCGCTAGGAAGAAATGTAGAATGGAAACGAAATATGCCAAAGATGCGGGCTAAAGGAGAGCGAGCAACAGTATTTAATTTCCTGTGCGAATGTGTAGGTCTGACTAGATTAAAATAAATAACTTTCGGAAACACATAATGAATCAGCTGCCAGATTTTTCTAATATTAAATACAAAAACAGATATGCACAAATTCTTAAGCGGCTCAAAGTCGTTTTTTTTACTGTAAAATTGTTTGAAAGGTAGGCTAAGGTACGAGTAGAGGAAAATTTTCCAGGAGAAGTGCAGCAAAATAGCGCTCTTATGTGATTATTGATTCCTGAGAGGCAACTTGTGAGGCACTACAATCAATCAACCAATTTAGGGGGTAAAAGCAGTTTCACGGAATTTCTTAGATTCGACATCGTAGTAGAAAAATTGTTTAAGCAATTGTAAACCATCTCTTGCTGAGCAACTTGAGGAAATTTATCTCATATTGTAGTATGAGTAAGCGGTGGACAAAAGCAGCGCTGAAAAACGAAATTCAAAAAACAATAAAGTAAAAATCACCATGTAGCAAAAGTTTAGTAAACTAATGCAATCTAAAAAAAAAAAGTATGTACAAAACCAAAACATTGAGCTTTGCAAAAATTGCGCAAAAAGATAGGCCAAAAAAAAATAAATAAAGCACGGAAATGCACTCGAAACACTTCCGTTTTCGATGTTGCTTTCTGCACTTGTATACAGTACGCCAAGTTACAACTTTAAAAAATTTTTTCTTTACTACAACTGGGAATTTTTTATTTTCCGCACCAGTGAGCGATTGCAAGTTTTTGAAAAACAAGAAACTAAAATGTCATCGGCGTAAATTCCCTCAGCTGTGGCGCGAGCAGTCAGTGGCCTTCTTTTTACTCGCTAACAAACAACTCCCGTTGACCTTTTCTCAACCGCCCTCGCTGGCATTCAACTTTGATACACTTTCGGATTGCAAGTTTTTCCAAAACTTTCTCTTTTGCAATTTTTCATTCTACATTTTCTCAACGCATCCTCTATACATTTTCCGTTCTTATTCACCCACAGAGCTCATCCGTTATGGAGGCAGCCTACTCTTGCCACTGGTATGATGGCTCCGAGGAGGCAAAGACTTTTGTGCAGATCGTTTGTCAGCAGTGCCAAAAGGCGATGTCCATATCGGGAGCGAAGTTCTTTACCGTCTCGTTGGATTTGTTTGCATCGGTATGTATGCACATATATAAGTAAATATGTGAATAAATCTATGTATAAATAGCATGTGCATGCCACTGTTATTGTTGAATGTATTTGTTCTCCTTGCGGTTGCTGGGTGTAGAGCAACCACCCACCGGTGCATTTATTGTTGCATTGAATTTGTGGTTGTTTGCTGTGGTTGCTGCTGCAGCAAAGTGTCGCCAAGTGGCCACAAAATTTGCCCACATACACAAACTCACACTCACACATAGCTACGATATTTTTACTTGCTGGCGTGCGAGCTTTTTACAGGTCCTATCCTGCCGCTGGCTTGTTTGTCGCCGAACAAAGTGGCCATTTACCATTTGCACACGAAATATGCGACATTTATCTTCAATGGCATTTTGTTTTTTTACATCTATTTTTTATTTTACTTGCATTTTGCAGCATCTCTTCCGTTTCGATTCGAATCATCATTTTAAATCACTAACAGCATCGCCACTTTTCTTCTTCCTTTCAAAGGTTCTTGGCGCTGTTGTCACCTATTTCATGGTGCTGGTACAATTGAAATGAAGCACTGAAGTTTGTGGCATAAACAATATCACCGACAAGCCTAACAAATCATATCATTTAACAAAAACAACAACAATAAAAGAGAGCGATGAAGAAGGGCAGTTGCAGAAGGGTGTGCCAGCGAGCCAGCGTTAGCAGTCGCCTGGAAAATCGGCGCAATATGTGGTGGACTCATTCACGCTGTGTAGCCGTTCCTCCAACAACAAAACACAACAGAAGAACTGTATACGACGTTGGCGAGAGACTAGAAGCCAAATTTAAAATTTTTTTCTTTCNAGCCAGCGTTAGCAGTCGCCTGGAAAATCGGCGCAATATGTGGTGGACTCGTTCACGCTGTGTAGCCGTTCCTCCAACAACAAAACACAACAGGAGAACTGTATACGACGTTGGCGAGAGACTAGAAGGCGAATTTAAAATTTTTTTCTTTCTTTTTTTATCTCTCCCAAGAATAAATGCAGCAGGAAATGGGTCCTTCTTTGTGCCAGCGGGAAAATTCATTTTTTGCTGCAATGTGTGTTGCCTTTAGTTTGTTTAATATATGTACATGAGTGTAAGATATGCATAAAGAGATGCCAAGTTGTTATAGATATGTATACTTGCTGGGCATTGTTGTTAACTATTATTTATGACATTTGTAAACAACTTTTCTATTTTACGTACATATCTTCTGCGGTTTGAACATAAAATGCTTCATAAGTGTGTGTATTATTAATTCCAATTTTTATGTATTTTTAAATTTACTCAAACAATCTTGTTGTTTTTTTGTGCAAAACTGCACATACATATCGTACCGATTGCAAACATTTACCTACGCAAGCACAGCTAGCAATACTTATTAACTTTAGTGAAAAGTACAATAAAGAAAGTAGTGAGTCACTTGAAGATCAATGATTATAAAAGTTGTGTTTTGATTAGAAACAAATAATAATTACAATTCATTTGATTGAAATAAGCTATTTTTATAATTCGAGTATCGTAGATAAGTACAAAACCTTTAACAGCTTTGCAGTTTTAATATTGGCACTGCAGTGGTAGCAATGATTCACACATGCTTATCTTTCAACAAATTTTTAATTAAGCAAAATTTATTAGACGAACGGCTCTATTTTGTATCAATGACAAATTCTTGTCACAGTGTTTTTTACGGAAAGATATATGAAAAAGTTTAAATTTGTCGGTAAAAAAATGTTTGCCACCGATACAGGATTGGCTTATTATCAAGCATGCACACACTTGAAGGAAAAAGTGGGCATAAATACATTTGTGGCAGTTTCATTGCACTACGGATGTATGTTTTTATTAATTTATAAATTTTGTATGCATTTTGGGTCATTGGAAAAAGGGACATAAATTTATTTATTTATTTATTGAAGTGAAACTTCTTTAGCGGCGGGTGCTTTGTTGCGAGTAAATTGGCAAATTCAACGGAAATTGCACACGGAAATGGTGCAATGGAAATGATGCCACGGAAATGGTGCAACGGAAATGGTTGGGGCTGAAACAAGTGCTTCTTGAGTGTATGCACATGGTATGAATTTAACAAAAGCTTGCTAATAAATTGCTAATTGTGTTATTCTTTAATAACACTTAGAAAAAGGCCAATACAAGAATGAAAGTAAAAGGCGCTACGCACATAGATAAAGGAAAGGATAAAGGCAAAGGAAAAAATAAAAACAAAACAAAGATGCGTACAGATAAATGCAAAAATGAATATCAATGTAAATTTAAATACTTTACTTATATATATATGTATATAAGGGGAAAAGTGAAGGGGAATATGTAGATGAAGAAAAAGATAAACACAAAGATAAATAAAAAGAAAAAGATGAGGATGAGGATACCGATAAAAGTAAAGATGAAGATAGAGGAAGAAAGATTAAAATAAATGTAATTATAGAGAAAAGGATATAGATGGAGAAACAGAGACTCAATCTGTGAACTATTTTGGGATTTTAGAGATTTTCGGGATTCTCGGGACATCGATATAAAAATCGATATTTTTATCGCTTTTATTATCGATTTTTTATAGAAATTTTTATCGATATTGTTATCGATTTTATTGTCGATACTTTTGTCGAAGTTGCTATCGATATATTTATCGATTTTGTTATCGATTTTGTTATATTATTTTTATAGGTTTTCCAATCGATTTTGCTACCTATATTATTACGGAATTTTCTATAGAAGTTTTTATTGAATTGTATGTATATTGGTTGAGACAAAATAGATATGTAACGTAAGTTTTACTTCTCCAGTGTGGCCCAGGCGCACTTACTTTTTTAATTTATTTATTTATTTATTTATTTATTTATTTATTTACTAGCTTTTACCCGCGGGTTTCACCCCACGTCTTTAAACAAACGCATTTATATAAACCTTAACTTAAGCATCTACAACAGATATGACTTCATATAAAATTTCAAATTCGTGCGATGTATGTTTCCGAAGTTATAGCTGAAACAAAATTCCACGCCTATGGGAGGTGCCACGCCCCCTTTTACAAACTCATATAGTATATAAACCGTAAGCACCTACCATAGATATGTTTGCATACCAAATTTTAAGTTCATGTGACTTATGGTTCCGAAGTTATGGCTGATTAAAAATTCCACGCCTATCGGATGTGCCCCGCTGCTTTTTACAAACTTCTTCTGCCGCTGTTAAGAAAAAAAACCGTTTTCTATATTTTTTTGATGTTGCTTTGACTAGGGCTTGAACCCAGGCATTGTGGAGTGGAAGCGCGCACTGCTTACCACTACACCACAGCGGCCGACAAAAGTTCCTTACAGACTAGTAAATGTAAGATAGTTTAACTCTGGGCTAACATTTTAAATACGGACATATTTTTTTTTTAAGACATAATTTATCGTCAAAAAAATTATCGACATAAATTTAAGGTTAATTTAAAGTTGGAGACTAATTTTTAGTCAATCAAAGACAATTTGGCTTAAAAGAGAGAACCGAACATTATGTTTTGGTCATTAAAAAATTGGACATAAATAGATGTTTGATATGTTGAAAACTGCAAGTGATATGTATTTGGGTAAGTTAAAAAATTTACATAAGTTTTGGCCATTTGAAATCTAAACCTAAAATATTTGTCGTTTGAAACTAAATATAAATTGACGGTCATTTTAAACCGAGACACATATTCTTGGTCCGTTTAAAAACTAGATGGTCTTTAATGAACTGCATGTTTATATTTAAGGATTTACTTATAAAACGGTCATACATTTTTTTGGGCATTTGAAATCCAAATATAAACTTTTGTAATTTCAAACTGGACATGAATTTATGGTCATTTTAAACCGTGGCATACATTTCTGTCCATTTAAAAACGGACAAACATTTTTAGTCCATTTAAAAACTGGACATAAATTTATGATCATTTTAAACATGTAGATAAATTTTAATTTAATAAAGATCAATATTAACGTTGACGATGAAAATGTGAATAAAAAACTTACTTAAAGGTGAGGCCTGGACATGATTTTTTGGTCATTTAAAAATTTTAAATAAATGTTATATATTTTGGAAACTGCAAATAATATTTCGGAAAGTTGAAACATGTATGGTCGTTGGAAAATGTAACATAAATTTGTTGGTCATTTGCAACATAACCATAGTTTGTGACATTTAAAATTGGACATAAGTGAAATCGGTCACTTCAGATCGGGACATATAAATTTAATAATAATGCATTTATAATCATTTTAAAATTGTATATAAATATTTGGTTGTTCACACCAAAAAAAAACATTTTAAATTAATCTTTGATTATCCGACAGGGAAGGTATATTATGTATTTATTTTGGAACGATTTTTCGTATCCCCTTTTCGAATCTGGCTTGGAAATAAACCAGTTTCTACATGTTACCATTTTCGAAATTATTTTTCATTCCAAAATGCATTGTAAATAGATTCAGCCCAAGCGTATGGCTAAAATCTGGCTTTAAAGTAAAACCTGGACATATTTTTAATTACGTAATTTAAAGTTTCGAAAAAGATATTTGATGATTTAAAAAACTGAACCTAATTTTTTAGAATGTAGTGGAGTATGGTAATTCTTCTGAGTTAGGATATACAGATATGCAATTGGAATGTGCGGACCCTCCATAAGAAAATTGCTTGAATATAAATGAAGGATTGTCCCGTTCAATACAAAGCTGGCATCACCAGTATTCCGGATAAACGTTAAATGTGACACATTACATTAAGTATGCAGCCCTAAGGTGGCTAACAGACCCACTTTGATTTTTTTTGGAGAAAACGGCCGTGTATTTGAACTATCTCGCCCTATCTCTCACGAAATCTTTTTTAAGGGCAAAGTATTTAGGTTAGGTTAGGTTATTCTGGCTGGCTGACCATCCCAAATAGACGGGTAGGTTCCTAGGATACCAGATGGAGGTAGAAAGCTAGTTAAGTATATTCGAAGTATGTACATATCATTGAGGATGTTAAGGCTTTCTGAGAATTTCAGTAGTGCAGAAACAAATTCGTTTGTAATCGAAGCTTTGCTCGATGCTATGCTCGTCGCTCCACTATGCGTTTAGGCTTCCTCAACCTAACCGGGTCGGACAAATAAGAAAAACAGCCATAATTTCTAATATTTTCATGCGACAAACCTTCCATGCTCGATTCTTTACTCCCTTTTTGCATCGAATTGTATATGCTTGTGGTTGCTGTGAAAGCCGACCTCCTCGTCTATCTTCGAGTGAAAGAAATAGTGGAGGATCTTCTATTGTAGCCTGCAATTGAAAAAAAAACACATTGCCTGTAAGTGTTTTTTTAGACTTGGAATTAGCACCGGCCTCTCATAATTTGACAGTAGTCTATTAATAGATCCTAGTTGCTAGTAAGGGTATTTCAAAAAATCACCGCCTTGTCAACACTTGCAACTCCAATTACAGTAATAATGCGATCAGAATACAATCAAAAAACGTAAACTTTGATTCCAATCTACCAACACGGTAAAAAGTCATTAATGACGAATACTAATCACTCACTCATATGATGAAATAAGTACATCAAACCGATAAAAAAAATCAATCGTGTCGCACCGAACGTTATTGAAGTAAATAAAAATAAAAAGATATAATAAAATTACGCCGCATATAACCTTGAAATCTAAGTTGAACCTTTAACTTATCTTTAAAAGTCTGTACATATACAATAAAAATTCAGTGCATTGCCGAAGTAGCGATTAATATTTAATAGGAAAATTGATAACATGGGCAATCGCAGTTTTTGATTGCCGGTATTT